TTTAATGGCATAACCTGGCAACCTTGAACTAGATAGGAAATGACACCATTCCTTGGAGGAAATTCTTCCTGCTCTCTGCGCTATCAAATTCCGTGACCTGAGACATGACAGACATAAAGAACCAAGCAGGTCCTCAGTACTTCATCGTTTGCCCCTCATTACTCTCCTATATTATCAAAAGTGTGTGCCTGAATACTAATTGGTAAAATTGGAATCACAAGGACTGCAATTTTTTCTTGTGATTTAGGTGCTGAAGTAATCCACCCAGGATTCATCCCGTTGGCTTCAAGTCTTTTCTATATACTCGTCTTCCGGTAAATCAATATTTTTATCATCTTACGAAGTTCCTGTGCTGCCGTGCTAGGGTAAAACGCCGTATAAACCTTCAGGCGTTGCCAAATTTCCTTTGATAAAACAAGAATCCCCTGGTAAATTTATGAATATTTTTCTTCCAATTTTTCAGATAATTTTGTTCGCTGTTTCACCTAAAGTTCCCGAAAATTTCAAGGAAAAATATTCATAACTTGCATCAAAAATAAACATTTTATCGAAGGAAATTGGGCAACTCTTGAATGTTCATACGGCGTTCTTCCTTAGCATGGCAATGTGGATAAATATGTCACAGCGATGGCCGAAGTGCAGAACCACGTCCCTCCATTGCGATGTTTCAACATATTCGCTCTCATTGTATTATTTCGAAGAGGAAAAAGCCAAATTAGTGACTTGAATTTTACGCGGAATATCCTGCTAACAGGAAAGAAAAATCAAAGAGATTTTTTGAGAATTTACTTCGATTGGTTTTCCGAAGAAAAAATTAAGTATGAAAAGAGGTTTGCTATCGCCATGAACGAAGATACGCGGTTTCGCACTTTGACCATCGATATCTTTTCTTATTATGACAATAGAACGTTTAAGGAGTACGTAACGTAACGCACAAGGACGNGGGGGGGGGGGGGGGGGTACTGCCAAGAGGGGCAGGGTCGTAGGAGAAAAAAAACTTCGACAATTTAGGTGAATCCTCAGTTTTTGCGCATTGCATTCTGGGCACGATCGGTATATTTCAAATTTAAACAATTTTGGTGAATGATTTGGAAAACTCGAAATTTTAGTCCGTAGATAAGTCATTGAGAAATGCCAGTATCGGAAATCATCTTTCAAACTCTCAAAATTAATGGTACTGCTTCCATAATTTTTGCAACCGATTTCAATATAGGTATCAATATCGATGATCAATTTGAACAGTTCTTCCATCTTTTTTTTAAGACTCAGGAAAATGAATTTCGGCGCGAAAATTTCTTCGTGATAGATCTACAGAGTGGAATTTACATTTTCCAAAATAATCCACGTAACGGATAAAATCTGAAATATATATTGACCGTCCTCCGAATGAATTGCGCAAAAACTGAAGATCCACCCTTAGAGCCCGACATAGCCGCCCTCGTTATGTTTTTAGAAAAGAGAGAGGGACAACATCAGTCATGTAATAACTCCGAAGTACAAATCGAAAATCGAAGTTTTTCTAAACCATAGTATTTGGAAGCGTTTGAGAATTTCGCTTTCATTGTCCTGATAAAGGACTTTAAAAATATTTCTATATTTATAATGGGTCTGTTGCAAACTTTTGCTAGAGCAAAAATAAGAGTTGTTTCTTATAGATAATGCCTCAAAAATTACGATGAGCGCATCGGCAAAGTCTGAAATGCACTCATAACTTCACAGTCTGCGTAAGAAATTTGCGGTTTTTTGAGCTTCCCGCTTCAAAAACGACACTACGGCACAGGTGAACATTTTGTAAGAGGAGTCGTTCCATCGTCGGCAATACTCATCATGGCCGACGCCAGTCCGCCAAAACACGTGTGATGGGACGAGATAACACCTGAACTGAATTAGACCAGATAACAATCGCCGTGTTAACGTTCATATTTTCCACGCCCGAATTGATTGACCTTGAACTCTCCTCGAATTACGCGCGGAACTGCGCGCAAGCGTCGGCCATGATGAATATCGCCGACGATGGAGCGACTCCTCTAACAAAATGTTCACCTGTGCCGTGGTATCGTTTTTGAAGCGGGAAGCTTAAAAAAACGCAAATTTCTTACGCAGATTGTGAAGTTATGAGTGCATTTCAGACTTTGCCAATGCGCTCATCGTAATTTTTGATGCATTATCTATAAGAAACAACTCTTATTTTTGCTCTAGCAAAAGTTTGCAACAGGCCCATTATTCAGCGCATATTCAGCATTGGTTTTTTCATGACGCATTTTTCCACGTGGAAGAGTGGCACCTACAGTTTCGAATTTTTCGAGTTTTTAAAAATTATAAAGGCAAATCATGATTTGCAGTTACGGATCTTCAGTTTTGTAAGGACATTCGGACCACATTTTGTAATTAAGAACTACAATTTTTAGCTCCGTTTAGAAATGTCTGAAATTTCTTGGCTTTGTTTTTTCCGCGAAATGGTGTGGACCCAGCATCATTTCTCCACCTTGTTACAAATAGTTCGGGCCACTTCTTAGTGTTTTTTTTTTTTTTCATTTAGAAATGAAGTATATACCATTACTTCTCGTAAGTGTGACGTAACGTAAGTGTTTTTACGGATGAGCCAAAACTTATAGTTTCTAATTACAAAATGTTATCCATTTCTCAAAGGGCCTTACAAAGGAGAGGGGAGCATCGGGTCAAAGATCATTAAGGTAAAAATTGAACTACATGTTGTAATTAATTGAGAACAAAAATCCCTGATTCAGTTCAGAAACAACGTATGCATCATTAGTTCCCCTATGCATTCTAGTATTTTTACGGATGACCCAGAAACTGTGGATCCTAATATGTAAAATTCAATAATTTATTGTGGCGGTGTATTGTTAACTAACCATATTTTCCGTTACGGTAGAGTGCCTTAAAATATTGATTTTTAAAATGTTCCTTTTTGATCTTACATTCGATTGGTACTTTTTTTTTTTGACCTTCGTAGAAAATCTCGATCCTGAAGCATATCTAAGGCGACTTATAAGGCGACCGGTGTTGGTTGGCTCTCTCTCTTCGCTCTCTCCCTATCCCTTCTCCCCTATTTGGGGGGGGGGGTCAAACATGCATATGCATTTTCAAAGGAATGTTCTATGATAAATGAACCATCTTCCATTGTCATATTTGCAATGTTGTGGTAATATTCCTAGAAACATAACTTTCAATACTGAAACAATATTGCCATAGCCCTCTTCGCAATTTCAGGGGAGATTCCTCTAAGCATGCAGTTGCGATATATTTGTAAGCGGCCGTCCGCAAATTACGTAACGTTCCGTAACGTTGTGCTAGACCTCCCTAAAAATTACGTAAAGCTTTTCCGGACCTCCCCCCCCCCATTTTGATAAAAAATAATCTAAACATCACCTTACATTTACTGAACGGATCGGTGCTTCCATTTAGTGAGGAAGTGAAAGTATTACACAGAATATTTCCGAGATTCTTCAAAACTTCTAAATACGACCGATGAAAAATTCTTCGGGAACTCGACAAAAAAATAACTTATACTCGTTACGTAATGCCTTCCAACTCCCTGTAATGTCACGGTATCGCTGGCAAAGACCCCTCCCGCCTCCCCCCCTGGAGCGGTATGTAATTTGAATCAGTGAGTTCGAAAAAACACCAACTCGGAAAAAAAAATTGTTCATGAAACACCTAAAGCTGCGCAGCGGGCGAAGAAGTTAGTTTAAGAAAAACCTTTTTGGTGCCAAAGGACAAGTACTTAGAGACTTTGTAAAGCACCAAGTCGAAATCGATACACCATGTTTTATGACAGAGAATTAAGCGTTCAAAAATGTCCGAGTTGGTGTGTTTTCGTTCTCACCGACTTTCAGATATACTGATTTTTCATATTCTGCCCTGAAAAATTTATATCTTTCGACCTGAATAACGCTTGAATATTTATATAACTTGTTGGTACTAGGTAAACTGAACCGAAAAAAGAAAACCGCAAAATCGGATGGTCACCCGTTTCCCTTGAAATGGCCAAACATTGGTATTTCCAATGAAATACTGCGATTTTTCCCTTTTCCCGTCGCTGTTTCGAGCACTTCCGATAGCAATTTCGAAATTTCCTTTTGCTTGCAGATGCCTCTATCCATAAGTGTTATACTAAACCGTAAAAAAGTGAAAATCGAAAAAAAACCCGAGTTGGTGTGTTTTCGAACTCACTGATTCATTTATGGACGACCCTTTTCATTTGAATAGAGTTATTGAGGATCAGGTACTTAGGGTTGCCTATAAAATCAATTGAAGGCGAATCAAGCGCGTATTAAAATAGGAAGATACGAACGTTTGGTCATCTTCGCACATGGACATTGTACACGAATGGCTTGCTTCGGAAACCGTCCGATTCTTTCGCTTTTTATTCAGGTCCGTCTTAAACATTCATTGCCACCATCGAAAAATATGTATTTCAATTGCAATTTAAATCTTTGATTACATTTGTATGTTTTCAAAACCAACCAAATCAGAATAGGTAGCTTGTCGTTGAAATCCGTGAATATATTTAAATGAGAAAAGGTACAACGAGGGGCTCAGAGGACAAGGCGCTTAAGTGCAGTTTTTTATTTTTCAAGGAATAAGTGTTCAAAGTTTCAAAATTACATAGAGCCTAATGGCAGGAAAGAGGTTTAGACTCACTTTTTTATGCTTTAAAGTTGGATCTTAGTTGTGAATGTGTAATACAGAACAGAATATACAGAATATACATTCAAACTAGTTGTAGTTGAGTTCATAAATATCTCAATTTTTCCCGAAACTGCACGTATGCGCTTTGTCCTCCAAGCCCTTTCAATGAGCTTACAATACATTTCAAAAGAAGCTGTTCGTTAGTTTTCCTCAAGAAAATAAGACAAGAGTGTGAAGTGACTTTACTGTGACGCAATCCGAATCTCCCGCCAGATCCCGTCTGCTTAAGAAACAGATAGCGCGCTGTCTGGCCGAAAAAGTTCCTACTAGAACTTTGAGCTTGACACGAAGCGAAAAAATCTCAAAAAAGTTTGATATTGTTCCGAGTGTCGTTATGTGCAGCTATTAGCTTGGATATTGAGTCTTACGAAAAGTATAAAGATTCCGATATTTTCAATTTTTCGGGCTCGGAAGTTAAACGATTCATGTTGTGCGAAGTTCATTATTAAGGCTTTGTATTGTATACCATTGTGATACGTTGTGCAACCGTTTTATCGGTGTAATCAGTGCGGCGAGCCACGAGACCCGATCCGTGGTGCGAAAAGACATATAGGTGACCGCCAACTCCCCACTTCTCCGCCTCGGAATCCTTGTACCAGGGTGACGTAGGTCGGAGAACTTCACAGTCGCCTGCGCCGCGACCCTTCACCTCCGCCGCTAGACACGTTGCACTCTATAAATTTATACGGTTGGTATCGATATCCGATAAAACGAGTTTTTCTAAAAATAAATCGATCCCGATTTATATCGTCACCTTCCGGGCAAAGTATCACAAGCGCCATGCGACGCTTCAAAATTTCCGCCGCCATTTTATTTTATTACAGAGAAATTGTTGGTTGAATCTGTTTGAAAATTTCACTGAATTTTATCGGCATCGCAAAGAAAATTCATTGAAATTTTCGGACAGCTTTGTTGAACAATTTCTCTGTAAAAAAATAAAACGGCGGCGGAATTTTTGAAACGTCGCATGGCGCTTGTGATACTTTGCCCGGCAGGTGACGATATGGAGCTCCGTAATATCGATATTCACAAATATCGAACCTAAAAATCGATATTTTACTAACACTTTGCCCTGCTGCAAATTGGCCCCTAGGTTGGGCAGAATTTTCAAAATATCGACGGCCTAATGGATTGTTAGTAATAGTACGCGGGGTACGATCGAATAATGTCCAAAACCCCGCACTTTTTGATTGGACAAGTACTTTTTGATTGGATTTCGACACGTAGTTTCCGAGATAAAGCGCGCCGGAAAAACGCTTGGTTCCTGCGCGGACCCCTGAGTGCTTCCCCTTCTAAAAGAGCTTCTTGCGACGATAAGAATGATCCATGAAAGAGGCTATTTGCAATCAAAAAGTGCGGGGTTTTGGCCATTATTCGATCGTAACCCGCGTACTATTACTAACAGTCTATTATGCCGTCGATATTTCGAAAATTCTGCCCAATTTAGGGGCCAATTTGCATATTTGGATAATTGGACGTATTTCTGCCAAACGGAACTATGTGCATTATGACGTGAGCCCTGGCAGGCATATATTCTTATGGGTCTCAGGGCTCATGTCTTAATGCACATAGTTCTGTTTGGAAGAAATACATCCATTTATCGATCAAGGACATTCGATAACTATTCAACGATCCAGGCGCGACCTAATTGTTCACTTAGTTGACTTAATTCGTGAAGTCAATATCACTCCGAATGCTTTCATCCTTTTTTGTGTGCTAAATGATGGCTAATGTACTTTTGCCCACCTCGTTAAAATTTAGAGCATACATTTATGAGAAATACTGAGAATTTTTTTAAACTGTTTGTTGCAGTTACATGGTGTGGCCGTGGCTGAGATTCCACCTTGGTCTTTTCGCGGTAATCTTTTCAATGGAAATTCGCACGTGAAAGGCCTGTGAACACTGTGTTCTAGTTCACCCCGATTGTATAGAAAAGATCTCGGAAATTTCATAAAATATGAGTGAGCCATCAAACAAAAATGGTAAACCAACAGTTATTGGTGTATACGGCATACAAGGCAGTGGCAAAACAACCATCATTCGGCATCTTCGGCATCATTTAGATGACATCTTTGTATTTTTTGAAGGTTCTGGGGTGATTGCCCAGATTCTGCCAATTGAGGCATTCAAGAACAAAGATGACCAAGAAAAACATGTTATCCGATGCGAGTGTATCAGCAGAATCCAAAAAAAATGTGAAACCGAAGAAAAAATAGGCATTGTAGATGGCCATGCAAGTTTTTTCTCAAAGGAGGACAAAAAAAGTTTTCCAGTCTACACAGATAAAGATCTAGAAGTCTACACGCACATAATTTATTTGTGTCCAGACATAAGCACTATTTTTGAACGACGCAAAAATGATCTGCGCCGAAACCGCGAGCACCTTTCCATCGAATGTCTTCAGCAATGGCAGACCGAAGAATTGACGCTGCTCCGGAAAATTTGTCGCGAGAATGGCATTCTCCTCAAAGCGGTAAAATCACCGGAGCCCCTGCAAGAGGTGCTCGCTCTGGTGCGGGATTTCGCCGAGCACAACGAAGCGGTCAACCTCGAGAGGGCCAAAAAAATGTTGGACGCGGCTCTCTGCGATTCAGTCGAGACTGTTTTCGTCTTCGACGGGGATAAAACCCTCGCGCCGATGGATGCGAGCGAAATGTTCTGGGCAGAGACACCCGCGGGGGTCAGCCCAGTCTCGGAAGCCCTCTCGATCAGCGGCCCGACGCAGGAATATTCATATCATTCTTTCCGCCAGGTGTGCCTCTTATACGAGGAGGCCGCCGAAGATATAAATTACGAAAAGGCATGCAGAGAAACTGCAAAAAGAGTAAATTTGCACCCCGAACTACAGGAATTGATCAAACGCGCAAGTGGACAAAACCACGTAGGTGTAATTGTAATTACTGCGGGTAACCGGAGAATCTGGGAGCTAGTCCTACAAAGTCAGGGCTTAGCTGGTATTCAGGTCATCGCGGGAAATCGTCTGAAAGATGGGTACGTAGTTAGTAAAGATGTTAAAACTTCTTTAGTACAACATTTAAGGAAGAAAAATTTGTTCGTGGTATCGTTTGGAGACAGTCCGTTAGACATGGGACTACTTAAAGAAGCGAACAACGCAATAGTGGTCGTCGGGCCCGAGGACGTACGCAGTAAAAAAATGAAATTTGAACTGCAAAAAGCTCTCGACGATGACAATGGTAGCTTTTCAAAAATTGGTCAGCTTCTGCTGGGAACCGAGACTCCACTTGATTGCTCTCCTTTGCCCATAATCAATCTGGACGAGTCCTTATTAGAGATATGGTTTTGCCGCCGTGTTCGAGTGATCATAGCTGACGAAATGCCCGCCAAATTTCTCATGACTCCAACCAGAGACAAAAGATTTTCCGGGAAAGCTCTGTACAACGAATTTAGTAAAATCGGAAGGTACTTGGCTACAAATCATCTCCCCAATATCATCAAAATCGAAAAATACGAAATCCCGCACGTGCAAGGGAATATGACCGATGGATACAGGATGACCGAAAAGTCCACGACCATCATCGCGCTGATGCGGGCAGGGTTGCCCGTGGCTATAGGGGTGTGGGAAACGATGCCGAGGGCGATGTTCCATCTTTCCTGGAGGGTGGCGGATTGTCAGGATCCTATTTTGAGGGATCAATCAACGATTATTGTTGCCGATGCTGTGATCAATTCCGGCGGAACCATCGCTAAATATGTAAAGGCCATCCGCGAAAAAAACAGATCGGCGAGGATAGTAGTCTTCGCGGGTGTTACCCAGGAAGACGCCGTTTTTGACAAGAACGGAAGAAGAGCGTATCTCTCTATGGAATTGGGTCATTTAGATGTGACCATAGTAAGCCTCCGCATTTCCGCAAACAAATATCGTGGATCAGGACACGTTGATACGGGAAATAGAATTTTCAATACGCCGCATATTATTTAGGCTGTGAAGCTTCTGCGGGTTTCAAAATATTTTAAAATGTTTTAAATTTTGTTCTTTTTCATACTAAATGTGCGCAAAGTAAGAATTTTGTTTTTGTAATATAGCGCTGCGCACGCCTCTGTATCGTCCATAATAATTATTTACCATATGTTACATAAGTTTTGAGCATCTCAAGATAAAATTAGGTATATACTTCAAATATTCCAATTTTGAGAAAAGTTACAAATTAAGCTTAAGTTACTTTGAAAATAATTATCCACGGCAGTTTGCGTACGTAATAAGTAAATAAAAACCAACACATGATATGCTTTTTGGAGTTGCAATTGTTTACTTAAAAATCTGTCATTATTTTACCGTAAGTAGTGATTTTCTTTTCCTTAATATAAGTGAGTTGAATTAGTGTTGCGAATATCTTTTAAAAAAATATTCAGCATATAAACGTGTCTGCCTATGATAGATCTAAGTGGAAGCCTTTCTCATGAAATTCACGGTATGATGAGTTATTTTTCAATTTATATTGTGTCAACCCCATACTCTTTTAGTTTATTTTATATATACTTATTCATCCAATTCTACCGCTGATTGGAACTGAAAAATCTCGTTTGATTCGTTAAAGTTCTGGCGAACTATATACCTTGTAATGCTCAATTTATTTGCTGTTAAAAGTTCACCTGCTAAGTAAAATGTTTTAGCAGGGTAGTAGGAATGCCACCCTTCTCGGGGTTTTTTATAGATAAATGGATCGTATTAAGGTAGCATTGTCGTATATGTATAATTTTCGTTATTGTATGTTATTGTAAGTAATTATTGTGTTTCAAAGTCATCCTCTTTTATTTTATTTTATTTCTTACATACTCATCGATTCAATTCTTCTGCTGTCACGGAAAAATCTTGTTCGAACCATTAAAATGTTGACTACCTCTGTACTTTGCAATTCTCAATTTGTTACCGGAAGTTCACTTGCCGGGGTAAATATTCATTTATTGTTAGCTAGTAGGAATGCCAGCCCTCTTGGGGCTCTTATCAGATAAATTGATCATACGAATTGGCGAGGCGTAGTTTTCTATATAAATCATAATAACGACGTCTTCAATGAAGGAAATTCTTTCAATGAAGAAAGAAAATTTACAACCTAAGCTCGTATGCGTCATCAGCTGTTGTCAAGATTGAGCCAATGTGCTAGATGTTTTTTTCATCACAAACGAACTTGAATGACTCTTATTCGTGGACTTTTCATGAACTAGTTGTTCCAAATTTTTTATTCAATTTCACGACAAAAAGTGTTATTCTTGGAACTCTGCATCTCCTCTAAATGAAAGAAACAGCTGCACAATCTTAGCAGCATCTAATGGCCATTACTAAGTTTTAAATTCCCACATTTCAAATGATGTGTTTACAGTTCTCAGAGTTCATACGGATAAGTCATCAATTGCGCACAATTGGGACCAATTTTGGGAGGGAACTTAATACTTTACTACTAACTGCTAACTTAATACTACTAAACTTAAAACATTAATTTATCTAAGAACAACAGTTCCAAATTTATTGCAAAATGAGGTTCGGCTGTATAGCGGACCAGACGCTTCCGCAACTCGAAGGTTTTTCTTTGGAAATAAATATAAAAAAAGAAATAATAATTTAATGAGTAAATTTTTCTGGATTGATAAATTATTGCAGAAATGTTGAAACGTGAGCTTTCCCACTCTTCCCAGGGAGCTAGGAAAAAACGCCGTATGGACCTTCTGGCGTTATCCAAGTTTCTTTGATAAAACACGAATTTCCTGGCAAACTTATGAATATTTTCCTTTCAATTTTTTCGAATAATTTTGTTCTCGATTTCAACCATAGTCTCTGAAAATTTCAGGGAAAAATAAATATAAATAAACTAAATTTCATAAACATAATTTCATTCATTCTAAAACATAAATTTCCCCACCAATAAACATTTTAGTGAAGGAAATTTGGCAACTCTCGAATGTTCATACGACGTTTTTCCTTAGCACGGCAGAATAAGCTAATCGCAAGAGCAACGATTCCCTTTCCTCCTCACTTTTTTGAAAATCAAAACCTAGTACTTTTGTCCACCAAGGGCAACGGAACTTATTCTCCGCCTAAAATTTTGATCAACGCTGTAAAATTTTTTCTCCGGCCCAAACTCGACATCCATCTTCTGTTTGTCGCCCGAAGGAAACTTTACGTCCAACTGAATGTCGTGTAGAGACACGCCCTTAACCTCAGGTACAATCAACCATGTCACCAGGAAGATAAAAGTGGCAACCGAGCCGCTTATGATGTAGTTGCAGTATAAGCCGACATTTTCGACGATTGTCCCGAACAAAAGGTCAGCAATCCATCCCGAAATGAATGACACGGTGATCAGCAGAGCACCTGCAAGCGCACGACAGTTGGTCGGGAAAAACTCCACCTGAAACGAACGCTAAGTGTTAAAAATTCGATGACCAAAGTGCGAAACCACATATCTCCATTGCAATTGTTCAAAGTTTTATTACTTTATAACAAAAGACTCAACTTAAACTGGGAGAAGATATATGCAAGGGACGTCCAGCAAAATCGTGGATAGGTGGCATTCAAGATGAAATTACGAGATGCCATCCCAGATAAGACATAATATTTTTACAATATTGGGCAAATATTGTCAGTACTGTCGCAATATTTACACAATACTGACAATATTTTGATAATATTATAATCAAAATTATTTTTTTAGAAAATATTTAAAGAATCATCATTTAGTATTTTTAAAAATAATATGTTTACCCAAAACATCATAAAAATATTTTCAAAATATTTGTATTTCAATACTGTGAAAATTTATATCGTGAGAGTGTTTTTAAAATATCAGTACATATAATATTTATATTTAAAATATTTATTATATATTTTAAAAACATTTTAAAAGACAGTAATGCATTGGTAAGTATTTTCAAAATATTTTAAACAATAATACTGCTATTCAAAATATTTTTAAAATATTTTCGATATCCTAATCGTAGTCGGGGGGCACACGTAATCCCGTGTGCAGATTCGTGAAGGCATATTGTGTGATACATCAATCTCTTCGTTTTGATGTCTTGAAAAAGAAAATCGATGATGGCCATCTCAAATTTCATACAAACCACCCCAAATTCAAGATGGCGGCCAAAATGGCGGTTTTGGGGTAAAAAAATTTAAAGTTTGCAAATACGTCGTGTCGGGTGTCGTTTCTTATGTATTTTTGATCGTAGAATCCGAATTTTCAGTCAAAAGTTAGTCCAAAGGTCATTTTTAGGCCAAAATCCAAGATGCCGTCCAAAAATACCTCTTACGGGTACTAATTTGCCTACTCGGGTCTACATGCATTGTGAGGTATCAATTATTAGGTTTTCAGGGTCGTAGAGTCCGAAAATGAGGTCCATTTTCCGCTGCGGCTCTCAAGAAGCCTTAAAATCAAAGATGGCACCCAAAATGGCTCCCGGTCTTGCGGATGAAACTGCCATTTAAGGCAGCTATAACAAACAATACGTTCAAAATTAAGTTTCTTGGGTCAAGAAGTTCGAATAGGAGATCAGATGTTTACTCCTACAAAAAATTAAGCCTCCGAATCGAAAAAGTATAAGGGAAAAAACTAAATGAGGTTAAAGAATAGAATGAATTTAAAGAATTAACTGAAGTCAAAAAAATTATGATGAAGTATTAAAATAAATTACAGTAAAACAAAACAAAGTAAAGGAATAAGAAGTAAATAATTAAAGAAAAAAAATGAAGTGCTTGAAAAAAAAAAATAGAGTGAAGAAAAAAATAGAGTCAGCAAGGAAATAAAACAAAGTAAAACGATAAAATAAATTTAAAAAATATAGTAAAGTAAAAAGTAAAATAAATACACGGACAAATCCAGGCAGATGGAAAATATCCTAGTTGCCCGTCCAACTCGACGTTAAATACCGGTTTTAAGTCACTAAAATACATCGTCTAGTGAAGCTCAATCGGTAGGGTCGTCGGTTAGTGTTAGGTAGGTCCCGGGTTCAATCCCCAAGGTGGATGAAAAATTTCTAATCTGCAAACTCGATTCAATAACATCCCAGTGGTTTCATCATTTTTATTTTTCATGGTTTCTAAAATTATTTCCACAATTAACCCTTTTCCACCATCCCCTAGCTGCGAACCCCTAAATTGATTCAATATTGGTGTAGTATTGTCTCAATATTGATATCCAAATACTTTCCCTTTGAAGTACTGGCACAGTATTCTCAGCCAAAGTATTGGCACAGTATTTATGCCAAAAGGAAAGATGGTGTACGATTTTAACATTGGCTCAATATTTAACCAATATTGGCCCAATGTTTGCATAAATACCAAAACAATATTGTTTAAATATTGGCTAAATATTCCTGTCTTATCTGGGATTTACCAGATGACCTCTGGGTAGATAGACAAGAGTGGCGATTAGGTATCGCAGAGCGCTCGGGCGCGCTGTAAAGCGACTTTAATGTATGTATAAATTAAAATTTATTGAGATTCTACTAATAGGGAAGAGAAATCAAGGATAATTTGGAGAAATTATATTGACTGGTTTTCCGAAGAAAAAATAAAGTATGACAAGATGTCTGCAACGCCGCGCAAACGGCGATATGTGGTTCCGCACTTTGGGTATCGAATTGTGTTAATATCACTGGCGAGGCAAGGGGGTCTCGCGTATTATTTCCACTTTCTTGATATGAAAAGCAGATTTTTGGGGCTGTTCATAACGCTTTAACTAAATGTTATCATTTTCTTAGGAATGCTCTGGAAGATTACTTGGGTTTGGGTATCCTAGAAAATAATGTTTTTCAAGGAAGTTGCACATCCTGGCTTTTGAAAGGGCTATAGCTAAACCCGTAAAATGGATTGTGTGTTTCGGTTATTTTTCTCGGGTCCTAATCATCCAATTAATTTTTTTTCTTTGGCTTTTTTGGGGTTTTTTGTGGTTTTTTATGTTTTTTTTTTTTTTTTTTTTTTTTTTTTTTTTTTTTTTTTTTTTTTTTTGTTGAAACTTAGTTCAGAATAATCTCCTTTAGGCAATCAAGTGTGCGTTTCGTTTAAATCCTCTTGGAGTTTTTTAATTCAAATTTCAAGTCAAAGAATGAAGAGAAAAAAGTTAGAGACAAATTCATAAAAATTTGATTTTTTAAAGTAAAGCAAAACCAATACTTGGCTGTATACAGAGACGTGTTCCAAGTATTTTTGTCCAAAACAGAATTAATTCGGATGATTTGGACCCCAGATAAATGGTACTGAAGCAAGGTCCATTTTTTCAGGTTTTAGTCCCTTCAAGAGTCAGGGTAAGTAACTAGCTTGAACATTGTTTTTTTGGAATATCCTCAGGTGGGAGTCTAACAGCACCCAAAGTTTTAGCTTTGTAGGTATATAAATTAAAAGCCTTGAATTCGCTCAGTACACCCCCATAATCTCCCAAGACCCGGCGATTTCACAATTTTTACTGCGGACAAGTGATAGTCCTGAGAAATTTTAACTTTTCAGATTATTACTTTTCACACCATCAAAAAGCGTGAAAAAGTTTATCTCCCTATTATAGCATAAAATAAGACATTAGAGCTTGCTTTAAGTCATTCAATGATGTCATGTGCAGCGCTCTGGCGACTCAAATTGCAACTTGAAAAGAAGAGTCCATTTGCCACCGGGTCTTTAGCATTACAAAAATAATTGACAAAACGTCTTGCTCAGGGAACTTACAGGCAGTTAAGTCACCGACGATGGGTGTGATGCCAGAGAGGCCTTTGGCAAAGTAAAATTTAAAATTTACAACACTTTGGGTAAATTTTCGCAAGTGGATTTGGTTCAAGTTTTTAACTTACTCTCAACTACTAAAACTTACTACTAAAACTACCCTTTACAACGAAAAAAAATTCCCCCCGACGGAGCGCGCCTACAACTTTTAGTTTTCATGATGGCAGTATTGACGACCACATCCAAAATTCTGGTGGTGGGTCGAAAAGTGGATGGATGCAAACGTTGGCTAAAATTCATCAAGCAACTAAGTTCAGTTCTTGACTTCAGCGGAGCGTTCTTCTCCGTTGGTTTGCAACCCTGCCGATCAGGTTGAAAAAGTCGACAAATCCACTCGCGAAAATTCACCTCATGATTGTTGTTTTTCAACTCATCCAAACCAACGTTCAAAAAGTCTCACCTGTTGAACGATAGGCATCGGCGCGATACCGAAGTTAGCGAAGAACACATGGAGGCTGACTAAGACCAAAATACAGGCACCGCACCCGACGTTGTCGAGCCCCTCTTTGTCCTGGCGGTAGAAGAGGAAGGCAGCAGGAAAGACGAGGACGACGGTGGCGCTCTCCGCGATGATGGCGGTTTTGCGACGCCCGATCTCGCGGACGACGCAACCGGAGCAGACGACTGCCAACAGGAAGAGGAGGGACATCGCCGCGGAGTACTCGCCGGTGGAGAAGTTGGAGTCGCCGAAACGGAAGATGAAGGCCGCGTGCGAGGGTGTGTTCCAGAAGAAGGCGAAGCGCATCGCGATGCCCAGGACCATCACCGTGATGAACGGGTGCGCTGGGTTCACCAGAACATCCCTGCAATACACCAAAAAAACGCACTGGTTAAAAAAAAAAAAATACCACAATCCCAACTATACTCCTGCAGGTCGATAGTTAAAATTGATAGACAAAGCTATAGACGACGAAGACAAAATGGACATGGAGGGATGCTTTGTGGAAGATGGTGGTTGTAATAGACGAAGGAGGGTGGTGACAGAACTCACAAGAGACCCTATAGTAGGTCCATATTTTTGCCCCTCGTCGATGAGAATCACCCATTTCAACCAGAAGGATTGCTCCATACTCCCTATGTCTTCCTTATCTATAGCTTTGTTTATCAATTTCAACAATTAGTCAACTGGCTGATTTTGGCGCCAACTTTAAGAGTAGTTTCATAAACCAGAGGGATGATTGAACCAGCTACGCTTTCGACAGACTCAACCGTACCTCTGACTGGTAGAACTACCCTTATAAGTGGCATCAAAATCAGGCTGGAGTAAAGTTGGGATTTAATTTTTTTAAGGGTAAACCCCTGAAATTGTGATTTCTAAGTTTTGCTCAATCCCGCTCATAGATCCTTTTATTACATTACGTCACAGTGCGTTATACTACATCAGAAAAACATTACAAGGGGGGGGGGAGTGAGGTCAAAATATCCTAAATTTAGCGTGTTACGTATTTTATGAACGTCCCCCGTAAAAGGAGTAGTGCATACCTACAGGTCGGAGAAAATGAATCCTGGTAGTAGTGAAATACACTGCACCAGAGGGAACTATGAGGATATTTATTTTTGCAGGATTGACCCAAATTTTTGTTGGATGATATGGGCTTTTTCAAATATTTATTGTAGTAAGTAGTCTCGCAACTCTTTGGGTAGTAGATACCTCAACCTTATGAAGGCCGTTTAGAATGGGGATGTTGCAAATGACGAATTGCGATTGAGGAATTAGCGATTTGACCATTGATTCTTATGTAAAAGTTCGCGAGAAACTCGATGGTGCCACTGGTTTTCTCTGAAATCATCTCCCAAGCTCAAAAAAAGCTCTCAAAGTGAAGCCAAAATGGAGGGGATATATCCCACGGTATCCTGAGAGTCCACCCCTACATCAAGACAAACTCTCCATGCAAAGATAGGGGAGCAAATACATAAACAGGGTTGCCGTGTTTTCAGTCTTAGAGACCCCAAATAAAGTGGCAGCCCTGTCAATGTATTTACTCCCCTATCTTTGCAGGGAGAGTTTGTCTTGATGTAGAGGTGGACTCTCAGGATAGCGTGGGATATCCCCTCCATTTCGGCCTCAACTTGAGAGCTTTTTTTGAGCTTTGGAGTTGATTTCAGAGAAAATCAGTGGCACCATCGTGTTTCTCGCGAACTTTTACATAAGAATCAACAGTCAAATCGTAAATTCCTCACACATGCAACATCTCCATTGGAACGTGGAAGGAACGAAAGCCTTTCCTTACCTGCAGGGTTGCACAGGTGCGATGAAAAGTATGATGGATTGGAAATTTTCGTGAAATGTTTCATGAAATTTTGCAAAGTTGTGAAAAATAGAAAACACATTTTCAGGGGCTGGGTATTCAATACGCGCACTAAAGAGCACCTCAAAGCAAAGACCACTTGCCTTTCATTTAATTTCGAAAAAAAAAATTCAATATATTTTCTCATTTTTCCGAATTTCATGAAATTGTTCACGTGAAATTTCAAGATTTTGTTTTTCATGAAAAATTGCAACAATCCTTACCTGAGTACACTACGTCGCATCTCAACTTGGACGCAGGACGCCATGTGCTTGAAGCGGGCTTCGCTGAAGCGTTCGTCGAAGCGAGCACAAGTGCCGCGTGCTTTAGTTTCGTCGCCTTTCATCAGATGGTAATACGGGGTTTCAGGGAGGCCCAGCACGACGAAGAGGAACAGAATCGGTGCGAAAGTGCAGGCCAGATTCAGGGTCCGCAGGCTACACGCATTGCCAACCACGAAACTGAACATGATGCCGGCAGAGTGCGCGCCCGATGTTACTGTGCACGCCAGACCGCGAGCCTCTGCTGGGGCCAGCTCACACGCGAACACAGGCACCACCAAGTAGAGCAAGCCGTTACACAGACCTAGGTGTAATGGGAAAGCGGAAAGTTCGATTAAAATTTGGCCTAAAAAATTCAATGGAAATAAAGGTGACACGAAAACACTGTCGCCAGATGTGCTGAAAATTCAGCACATTTCCCCCATAGAAAAAAAATAAAAAATAAAAATAAAAAAAAACAAAAAACAAAAATACACGACATACGAGTTTCCCCACATAGCACGGAATATTGATATAATACTACAATAGTACTGACACGTCAGTAGTGTCAGTATTTATATAATGCTGATGTATCCTGATTTAATATTATATCAAGACTATGCCAGTATTTATTAGTTACTGATTTGGAGCTGTCAAAATATTGTTACAGTATTGGCCGAAAAGGTTGATGTCATATGGAAATCAGGGTTATGACAAGGTCATCAGAACACTGCAGGACACCGACAATATGTATGCATTACTACCTTGACACTGACACGTCTGTACACTCAGCGCACTCTGTCAAGTAGATATGAAAGTTCAGACGATGACCGTCATTTTCATAGTACTACACATGTATTACATTTGAAACATGAATTACACAAGTATACAAGTATTGAATATTATAAACCACTTACTTGATGTTCTGCGACGTTTAGTAGCGTAAAATACCCGGACGCCCTCGGGTGGATTTGAACCCGAACCGCGGAATTCCTAGCCCAGTACTTTGCCATTGAGCCACAGGGAACTGGTGGTATTTCGGGTTAAAATCACGCCTGTCAAGGCTGTTACAGCATGCATAGCATCAGTGCGCTGCTCGACTTTCATCATAACTTTGATTAACACCGTGTTTTCTTAGGCTTCTTTTTCTTCCTATATTTTTTTTTCATTTTTTCGTGTTAATTTCTTTTCGTGTTATTATTTTTTTACCTCGTCAGCATTGACTCAATACTGTTGTTTGATATATTGAAGGTATTAGTGTTATATTCATGCTGACGCGGTATACCTTTTAACCGACAATCTTAATATCATACTGCATTAGTGTTGGTGATATCATGTCAACATCCAACAATATGTATCAGTATTGACATAAGATTCTGTGCTATGTGGGTCTCCGTCAGGGAGCTCCCCCCGCAAGAAATCATTCACCACCCGCCCGTCGGGAGCACCGCGGCGTGCTGCCAACGCGTACCGCGCACTGACACCTACAAACCTAAAGGGATACTTCAAGCATTGCGCAATGCTTGAAGTATCCCTTTAGGTTTGTAGGCGTCAGTGCGCGTTTCAAGCTGGCAGCACGCCGCGCCGCGCCGCGCCTCAACGTGCCATGAACTGGTGACGATTAATAGGTCAGGGTGTTAAGATGTAGGCAATTCGACATCGAATTCGAAATTAGCCACTCAATAAAAACCAGTTACAAAACTTTCGTGATCTCTCAGTCATTATCCGACTTATTTCTTCTATCTTAAGTTTTGGACCATAGTGCGCCGCGGGCGGCACGGCGGTGCTCATGAAATTCTCCCGTGTGCTCAATCGCTCACCCTATGTCTCTCTGCCGTTCCAAATTTCGCGGGGAAATAGAGCAAAGTCCGCTTCGAAAAAGTGACTATACGCAAGCTTACGAGAGAATATGCTAGTTACCTTTCTGTTAGCTATTATTCTAAGATCACGAAACTTTTTTTCGCTTTGTGAGAGTGCTAATATTTAATTTTTTAGATTGCAAAGTATACATTTCTCTGGTCCACGCTTTGCTTACCTTGTATAAGCCTGGCGATGATGATCTGTGACACGGAGGAGGCGAAGTATATGAGGATCCAGCCGAATAAGGCCAATGGAGCGGCCATGATGATTAGGGTGCGTCGGCCCCAGCGGTCCATGAGGAAGGCGGTTGGGTAGGGACCCAGGACGATGCCCACATCTAGCAGGGACACGAGCAGGGCCAGCTCTTCATCGACCAGTGGGGCTTCCACGTGTTCGTTGGGCAAGCGCAGGACTTTCGTCCCTGACGGGGTCCAACCCACGCATGTCCCGCTGATGAAAAGCCCGATGGATGCTGGCAAAAAGTAGAAAATGCTGCGTTAAGAAAAATATTTGTGTTCGTGTGGTGCTTACTGTTCATATACGCGATGAAAAACAAACCTACCCAGATATTGTGTTGAATAGCGTATTTGTATATGTCTGAAATTCGATGAATTTCATGTTTAAGATGAAACTACTAAAATAACTGACATGAGAATATTCTTGGTTTCTAAATTGAACTTTAATTGGACCGCGTTAAACAGAAAGGAACCAAGCCACATCAGCTATTGCCAAATTTAACTGGGCAACTTAATCTTTTACATGAAAACGGTTGTGCGAATTTTCTTGCAAATTTCAGTAAATTTTCTCCATGGTACAAAGCAAATTCCTTAAAATTTTCAAAGGAATCCGAACAAACGTTCTCTTGTAAAAAATTAAATTTCCCAATTAAATTTGGCGATATCTGATGTGGCTTGGTTCCTTTCTGCTAAACGCTGTCCAATTAGAGGAGATATGAAAAAATAACGTGATCTGCTAATATACATGCGTGTTTCCGCCAGATGACGTCACAAGGCCGTACACTTTCTCACTTTTAAATTTATTTTCCTACAATTTCCCATATCAGAAAAAAATTATGAAAAATACCGCGAATTCAGCTCAGTGTAACATGTAAAATTTCTCTTTTCGCCTGCTTTTGCGAAGAATGTGTATGAAATAATAAATATGTATTAACTTAATTCTTTAACGCTATCTATAAATTTATTTACCTGAAAATAAAGACAGATAGAGTCTTACGCACGGTGATAGATCCAGCCGGTGTTTCAAAAATATGTTCATGGCCAAAGAAATTCTGCTCCTCTGAGTGGTACACTACTAACGATATGGTATAGAAGTTATCATACTTAATGTTTAAATACTTAAACTCTGCTTTAAGAAGTTTCACAGGTCTAAGGAACTAAACAAAAAAGGAAGTATGAAGAAAATGCACACTCCACTACCGTGATTCTTTTAGGGAAATTATCGGGCTCACTATTGGTTATACCTTGTTTATTCACAACTATAGTTGAAACTGTAGTAATATTATATTTATTGTCATACGCAAAATCAGAATGTCAAACGATCTCTGTTACATGGACTCAATCGGTAAAAGCATGCAGTTATAATTTTTGAAAAGAGACGAAGCACTCACTATTTAGCATAGTTAATTATTATAATTCTTAACCGCAGCGCTGTCGCGTGTTTTCGAACAATGCGACACCTGAGTTTGTGGAGTATCTAAGATTTTTTTGCCACTAACCACGATAATACTAAATTATATAGTGACATTTGTTTTTTTTTTCAATTGTGTCATATTGCAAAAATCAAATCACAGAGGATCTCGACTCATGAGATTCACAATTACGAAGTCAGAATGTTTCAAAAACGCCTTGAATCTCTTATCTATCGTCATTGCTCTATGTCATCATTGCTTGGGTGGGGGGGGGGGGAGTATGTTTCAATCAATCATTCGCGCAAGGAGTTTTCCTCTTTGAATATTGACCCGGAAAAACAGAACAATATAAAATCCACAATTTACCTCTACGGCACGAAAACTGTCAGGTGAAATCGAATACTTTGCGGTGATTAGACGGGATTAAAAAAATACAACTTCCAATCGGAGATATTAAACTTAAAGGTAGAGGAAAATGTCCAAAATTATTGCATCAATGGCTTTGGAAAATTTGCTCAAGCTGCAGAACTTTGAAATACTCGAATAACACAAATCCTGATCAGTCTGTAGGTTCGCTGTTGAGTCGTTGATACCCCTCCTCCTACCCTATCTTTTTCTCCTGAAACGTCAATGAAAAACATCCGTGACGTCTCATTGTATATTCTTTTCTTGCCACTCAATGCTGTCTTGCCGGACCGTAAAAACAAGTATGAAATTAACTTTGGTAACGCGTATTTACTTGACCGATGAATCACAGAACTTTGTGCCCTAAAAAGCTCCGTAACTTCAAAAAGAATCTAATACGGTAGGTAAACTAGGATAATTTTGACAAATCTGGGTGCTTGTTCGTAAAATTGATGATTTGAACTTTCCAACCATGGGGAATTCTTGAAAATTTCGCATAAAGCTCATTGAGATTTATACTCTTAGCATATTTTGAGCGAACTTTACCTTAATTTCTTTCAAATTTCAAAGATGAGAGACACCTCAACGCGATACAACTACTCGTGCTTGATGGATCTCCATGTTGCAGGAGCAAAATTGAAGGCGCGATAGCGCGAGGGAAGAACTCACAATACTCTGCTCTATGCTGCCGATGAGGTGTCTCTCTGATTTTGAATGTTTGATTTGAATGACGCCCTTTCAGTCGGTAAAAGGTCTACGCCCTCGGATATGAGCCAGTCCAACCCTGATTTTGACCCAGCTAATCCAAATAGGTGTTGTGTACCGACTTGTTGGTACTGTGCACCTAACTCATTGGAGTTGTGGTCTTTACTAACTTGAGCTGCTCTAATAAGTGTAAAGCACAAGTCAAATAAGTTGTTGTTCAGTACCAACAAAAACCAATTTGGGTTATATGTGTTGCAATCATCGAACCCGTGCTTCAGTGAGGTATCGGGTTTTTCAAAAAGCTATCAAAAATTTTCTTAAAACTTGGTTTCGTTTAAACGATATGAGAGTATGCCAAACACATATATTGCTACTGATAGATGTATCTTCTTACGGGCGGAAAATATAAAAAGTAGTCTGTGAAGTCACCTGTGAAGTCTAAATTGGACTGCATTTTGCAATTTGGAACTATAAATTTTGTCTCTTCTGGAAAAACACGTATGTGCATAGGGAAACTAATAGCACATTCGTTGATTTTAAACCGGGCTAGAATTTATAGGTCCAAATTGCAAAATGTAGTCCAATTTAGACTGCACGGGTGCGGATTAGAGAGAAATTGTGATTCTATGCGATGCACGTGACTCGTATTGTCGGACGTCACCTCATTGACAAATTGTTCCACGCTGTCATCTCTTTTGTTTTTGCGCAGAGCGACATAATTAACTTGCATTGTTAGGGATCATTTCGTAAACAAAGGAAAAAACTGTAGCATGTGCATAGAAAATGAGAAGTAACAGAAGGAGAGAGAGAATCGATTCTCGGATGCTTTGATATTCAAGTTCAAGAGAAAATCCTATAGATGTTCCGTTTTTATGATAAAGTTGTCATTTAGCTTCTTCCCAAAATCCTCGCACTCCTTTAAACGGGGAAAATCGCCCCTTAAAACCGCCATTTTTCCGTGGATTTTGCACCTTCAGGCTGTACTTATTTATCAGATTGTAACCTCAATAAGGCGCGAAAATTCAAACCTCCACGATCTGTAGTGATCATTGGCGAGTATACTGCCGTGCTAAGGAAGGACGCCGTATGAGCCTTCAGACGTCGCCAGGTTTCCTTTGATAATTACTGGAAAAATTGTGAATGTTATTATCTCAAATTTTCAGACAATTTTGTACACAATTTAATCTAAAATATCTGAAAATTCTAAGGAAAAATGTGCATAAACTTTTCATACGGCGTTCTTCCTTAGCACGGCGGATTACGTGAGCAGCAGTGGCGAAGCATGAATGATCGATTATCGATGTTTCCCCCATTTGAAGCTATGATAAAGAATTTATTATTAAGGTGTTCGTTGCGAACACCCTGTTTATCGATCCAAATTTCCGATTTAGAGATAAATGGTAGATCAATCGATATATCGCAAAGCACGCCACGCCACTGGTGAGCAGTCAACGTAACTCGTATTCAAGAGTTTAGATTTCTCTCCTTAAGTATTCCATTGCACTTTTCAGTACTTTGAGCTAGTTATCGTTAGTCTCAGCTAACGGTCGACGTGATGAAGTTAAACCTACTTGTCACATGAGCTCGTAAAAAAATCGCCGAATGCAGTGAGAGGGAACTATAATTGGTGTTCCCGAATGCAATTAGGGGCTCCCGCTATTGCGCTTCCCCTCCCTCCCCACCTGCGGGGACATGGGACGCTTCTCCCACTTAGCCAGGGGACAACTCGAGGGGAAATAATCACACTTTTAAATAGTAAATATGCTTTGCTTCGTTTAGCCGATTAAATTAATTAAGGTAAAAGATGACAGAGATAATTTAAACCTTTTCCTTTGTTGCGAAGTTGATGAAAAATTTAAACATTTTTTTAGATTACATATTTTGATGGATGCCACTTACTTCTTTGAGAGAAATGAATTAGTGACAGAGAGGACGTAAAACATATATGTACCCAGCATTTATGGAATCTTATTTATATTCTCCTCTTGGTTACTATTTGACTGGACGGCATTCGCACGGTCTCGTACAATTCAGATAAAATTAGTCACACCTTGATTTCTATATCGAAAACTGATCTCTCTTGTGGACCTCTGATGTGGCTTTCCATGTGTATTCCAAGAGTATGATAAGCAAGGTAACATGGACTTTTATTTTGTGTGTCAACATTAGGCTTTTAATTAACTTTTCTGTCGCTATATGTGAATAATCATGCAATTGGAGGTCATAGTTATTAATCTGGTTACAAATCCTCTTTCCAAGCACCGTAGAAGCGCCTTCCATTCATTGTGCAGACAAATTTAATGACACGTACTATTTCATTTATAATTATATATAATTATATTCTCTAATGGTGACACCCAGCAATACTGGTGTTCGAATTTTGGAAAATTCTACTTTTCTTTAAACGATGATCATCTTTTTGTTCCGAGGCATTTAGCAGTATATATTTTTTTCGTGAGGAGGCGAAATCAAACAAAGCGACACCACAAATTACTGAATTTATGCATTGTGTCTATTGATTCACGTATTGTGAATACAACCGTCTACTGTAAAGTTTCGTACCTATTGGAGATTTCCCATTCAATCTTGAAGTGCATTCTAATATATTTCTAAAAAAAAATATTGATACAAATAAAATTAACCGTCAAAAATCATGTGAATCCCTCAGGGCCGGATTTACCTACTTGCCGCCCCCTTCTCATTCGTTTTGAAATACCAATAAAAACCATCAAGTAAGTGTGCCAGCGGGGGAGGGGTGCATCAGAATCGTTTACTCGTGTTGGACGTCTTTTTTGGGAAAGCCCTGTTAATACTACTAGCAAAAGTTCACGGAACTTTGCGCGAAAGTTAAGTTCCGTAAACCTATCTCTGTGTGGACAAGGCCTTCCATTCATAAGAAATGAACAAACAAATTACATATATGAAAGAACAAACATAGTTGTAGTTTAATGATTTTAACTTCCGCCGCCGCGCCGCGCAGACTGCACTGGGTTTGACGCAACGCGTGAAGTATTCACGCAGTCTTGTAGGCGCTAAGCGTTTCACGCTGACCGCACTGTCTTTTGCGCAATGCGTGAAGTATTCATGCATCCTTGTAGGCGCTATTTGTTTCACGCTAACCGCAGTGACCGCACTGTGTTTGATGCAAGGCGTGAAGTATTCGTGCAGTCTTGTAGGCGCTAGTATGTGTTACATGCCGACCGCCGCGCCGAGGGCTTCTCCTTTTCATCTCAAGTCCTGGCATCATTTCTCTCCAAGTCGCGCCGTTCTAGGCCAAATTGCGTGTTTGGTTTCTCTCTTAACTCGATTAATAAAAGATGCTGTCTCTTTTATCACTAAAAGAGAACAAAATTAAAGTTACCATACTCTCAGGAAATGAGAGATTTTGCCGCCTTTCCTCGTTTGTAATTTATTTTCAAAATTCGATTTTTTTAAAAAAAAATTGCAGTTTTTGCCGCCCCCTTGATTTGCCGCCGTGGGCCGTGGCCCATGTGGCCACCCCCTTAATCCGGCCCTGGAATCCCACCTATTCAATAAATTGATATTATTCAATTTTTTGTTTTTTCAGAGCTTTGTCTTATTTCGTGCCAGATTAGCACACAAGAGGTCCGCGAAGTGGACCATACAGGGCTCGAAACGACATCCGAGGGTTGGACCTAGTGGCGGTCAGGGGGTGTATCTGGCCTCCTAATTTATTTCAAGATTTTGGAAGATTATTTTTGGCACGAACGTCCCTCAACAATTGATCCTCAGACAATGAACTTTAGAATTTCCTAGAATAATTCATCTGAATGCTGCCGTGCTGGGGGAAAAAGCCGCATGAACATTCGAGAGCAGCCAAATTTCCCCCGATAAAATGTTCATTTTTGAGGAACGTTACGAATATTTTTTCTTGAAGTTTTCAGACACTTCAGATCAAATTACAAACACAATTTTCTAAAAAAGTAAAAGAAAAATATTCACAAATTTTCCCGAGTCCTCGTGATGTGTCAGAGGAATTTAGCAACGTCTGAAGGCTCATACGGCGTTTTTCCTTAGCTCGGTAGAACGGTTAAAATTTGAACTATATTGATCGTACCCAGCAGAAAGCATCGCGCAAAACCTGAAGATCCATGTTGCGGTCTCAACGTGACAACTGGGTAAGAAGAGCTAAGAGCCATACTGCCGTGCTAAGGAAAAATGCCGTATGAACATTCGAGGGTTGCCAAATTTTCTCCGATACAATGTTTATTTTTGAGGAAATTTATGAATATTTTTCCTTTAAATTTTCAGAATCTTTAGGTGAAATTGCGAACACAATTTCCTGAAATATCGGATAGGAGAAATATTTACAACTTTTCCCAAAATTGCGTGAATTGCCGAAGGAAATTTGGCAACGCCTGAAGGTTCATACGGCGTTTTTCCTTAGCACGGCAGCATAATGACTGCATGCTTCCCACCT